AACTGAGTTACTGGTACACTAAAACTTTCACAGGCTAAGTACATTAAGAAAGTTTTAGAAATGTTCAGCATGGTTGATGCGAAATCCAGAAGTACACCTTTGGGTAGTCAGTTGACACTCTCAAAGAAGCAATCCCCAAAGACAGAAGAAGACAAAGAACCGATGTCCAAAGTTCCCTAGGCATGTACGATTGGTAGCTTGATGTATGCAATGGTTTGCACCAGACCAGATATTTCTTAAGAAGTAGGAGTTGTGAGCATGTTCATGTCAAATCCAGGAAGAGAGTATTGGGAAGGAGTAAAGTGGTTGTTACACTACTTAAAAAGAATGATTGAGATTGTTTATGTGACGTAAGAAAGGGCTGGTATTAGAAGGGTTTGTCGATGCAAATTTGGGTGGATGTGATGATTTGGGTAAAAGCACAATGAGTTTCACAATCGGAGGTACCGCAATCAACTGGATGTCTAGGTTGCAGAAGAGTGTTGCTCTTTCAACCACAGAAGAAGAATACATGGATATTGTAGAAGCAACCTGTAACATTCAATTCAGGTGAGAAATTGTCAAGTTTAAAAATTCAAAGGTTTTAACCCTACTCGTGACTTGAGATATGTATGTCATGTCGTGAGGAGGTTAGTGCAATCGCGCATCACCTTTGGGCTCACGACGTAAGCACATATGGCTCACGATGTGAGATCAGCCTGAGAGGAAACCCTAATTGGTGGTGGGGGGGGAGGGGGTTATTCTGTATTTAAAGGAAGTGAGGGCTAGGGTTAGCCCACTCTCAACCTCTATCACCTCCTTGCACTCCCCTTTTAAACCCAAGCATCCAATTTGATCTTGAGCTTATTTGTGGTGATTTTAGCCAAGGAAAAGAAGAGGAAGAGCATCTAGTCCATCATTTCTGCATTCAAGTCTCTCCATCAAGCATTCTCACACCTTCTGGACCTTTTGTAAGTTTCAAGTTCATTACTTCGTGAGTCCATAAGCTTAGATCTAGGTTTTTATGCTTAATCCTTCATATTCAAGATGATGTATTGGTTGAAATCTATAAATTTGCCAACTTTATGGATCTCCAGTGTCCCTTGACAGGTATAGATGATAGATCAGGAAGATGGTTGAGTTTTAAGACTCTTGCATGAGACTTGGTGTCATTTCCTTCTTTTGTGCACTAGTTAGTGTTTGAGACATGCATTGCACATGCATGTCCAAAAATCCACGATTTTTATGATGTTCTGGAATAAATAAGACACTATGGAGGATTTGGGTGCTTGGCCAAAAAGAGATTAAGAGTTTCATTAAGAACTTCTGATGAGAGCGTTCTCACGATGTGAGCACAAGGGTGTCATGATGTTAGGATGGTATTCCTCAATTGTTTTGACTTATTAGCTCACGACGTGACCATTAGGGGTCACGACGTGACTAATGGATTGTGTGACTTTTGAGTGTGGATTGATTTTGACTTTGACCAGGGTTTGACCAAGTTTAACCTAAGGGTATTTTGAGTTGTATTTGAGATTGGTCACTATTTGATGAATAGGTGACCGGTAGAGCGGATATTCGAGGAAATCCTATTCAACGATCTTTTTAGATTGAGAGCTGAGTTTTCCTCACTGTACGTGTGGGTCGAAGGTACCAAGGCCGGCCTACTGGATTCGATATCCTGGTATATTGATAGATGTTATGATGAGTATGTGGTAGATCTGTATGATTACCTGATGATTACTGATACGGGTTAGACTGGTAGAACTGTATGATTACCTGTATTATTGGATATGTGTTAGACTGATAGATCTGTAGGACTACCTATATTTGTTGGCTATTGAATGTTATGATATATGTTGATGTATTATTGTCGGATAGGTTGAGGCCGTCCTGCTTTATGCTGAAGGCCAAGATACCCAAGGCGATCCGGATAGATTGAAGGCATGCGAAGCGGTCCAGTCAAGCCAAGAGCCTAGAGAGCGGTCCAGATAGGCGGTATGCCCAGTGCGACGGTCCAGTCAGGCTGTAGGCTCATGTATGTATGCTGTTATTTGTATGGTTGTGTGTGGTACTTTAGGGGAACTCACTAAGCTTTGGCTTATGGTTTAAGTTTATGTTTCAGGTATTTCTCATGATCGGGGCAAAACGAAGGCGTGATCGTACACATCCTTCGGTGTTATGTTTTAGAGATTTATGATACATTGATCTTGAGAAATATTTGTATTTTGATACTTGATATTGAGTTGGGCTTGCTTGAAAACAATGATTTCCTTTCAATTAAAAAGATAAAATTTCATAATTGGTCCCTGTGGTTTGCAAAATATCTCACTTTGAGGACTTTCATGGAAAACGTCGTGCCACTGGTCCTGTGGTTTGCAAAACTTCATGAATGGTCCTCCTGCCATTATATCTAACTTTTTAGCTATTAGATTTTTATGAAAAAAGCTATTTTACCTTTATACCAAATTTACAATATACTATACACCTTAAGGACCATTTGTGCAATATTATAAATTTGAAATTTTATATATATATATATATAATTTATAAATATAGATTATATATATATATATATATATATATATATATATATATATATATATATATATATATATATAATTTCAACAATTTGATAACGGTTTTTTTTCTATCTTTTTGACATTTTGGTTTCTATTTTTATTTTATAATTTTAATTATTTATGGTTTTTAATGTTTTTATTTATTTTGATTCAAGTAAATAAACTTAAATTCGATAAACCATGTCGAAACTGTTTTTTCTTTAATTTTTTTTATTTGTGAATTGGAGCATTAATGTTTTTTTTTTAAATTTTATGCCGTTAAGGTTTATATTTTTTTTTTACTTGGATGCTTCATAGTTAATATCGTTAACAAATTTATGTTTGCATTTATCATTATCATTATTTCACCTTTTATTTTCTAGTTTTTTTTATAACTTTAGTTATTTATTATTCTTCTATTGCTTTTATTTATTTTGATTCAAGTAATGAAAAATAGAAAAACAAAAGACAAAATGCAAACACCAAAATTGTAACATACTATAATATATTAATACATTTTACGTTTTTTGGTTATTTTCATATATTTTTTAATTTTTTTCGTATTATTTTTTAATATTTTCCTAATTTTTTTCGTTATTTCGTTTAATTTTTCATAAATTTGATAACTTTTTTTTGACATTTTTCAAAAAATGTATAATATATGAATATATTAGAGTTTGTTTTCTATTTTTTTTTAATAATTTTGGTTATTTGTCGTTTTTGTAACTTTTTTTTATTATTTTGATTCAAGTAATAAAAAAGTTATATTTATATTTGAAATTTTAGTCCACTTTTTTCTTTATATTTTTTCTTCTTTAGTGGTTATTTTATATATGTTATGACAAATTAAATTTTGAAAAATAAAACAGTTTGTCTATTGAGAATTAATGTTTCAATGTGTGACATTTGCGATTTATAATTCATAAAATAGGAAAACTAGCTAATATTTTTAAAATGTAACTTTCAAATTAAATCCTATTTCTATATGAGATATCAATAGTTCAAATTCAAGATAATATTTTTCAATTTGATAATAAACTAAAATAAAGAATAAAAATAATAATAAGTGTCGGACTCTATAAAAAAGTTGTTACAATATTTTAAATTGAAGTTTTTTTTCATTCACTTGAATCAAAATAAATAAAAATATTAGAAAAACTATAAAAAACCAAACTTATATATATATATATATATATATATATATATATATATATATATATATATATATATATATCAAATTTATATTTATAATTTATATATATATAAAATTTCAATTTACAAAACTTACGCAAATAGTCCTCGAGGTTTGTAGTATATTGAAAATTTGGTACAAGGGTAAACTAGTTTTTTTCATAAAAATCTAACAACTGAAAAGTTAGATTTAACGGCAGAATGACCATTCATGAGGTTTTGCAAACAACAGGGAAGTGGCGTGACGTTTTCCATGAAAGTCCTTAAAGTGATATATTTTGCAAACCACAAAGACCAATTATGAAATTTTGTCAATTAAAAATGAAAAATTTTATCGTGTTTTTGGGATGTTACACAACCAAACAACTTATATGGTTGAAGACCTTCTTATTAAAACTTAGTTTTCAGCAACTTAGTTTTCAGCAAAGTGATTATGTACTGCATTGTGACAACCAGAGTGCTGTTCACCTGGAAAAGAATGCAATGTTTCATCGCAGAACAAAAAATATTTAGATGAGGTACCATTTCATCCGAAAATTAATTAATGATGGAACTCTAAATTTGAAGATAATCATTGGTATGAAGAATCCAACATATGTGTTCACCAAGGTGGTTACCACTAATAAGTTGAAGTTTTGTATGGCTTCAACCGTTCTTCCAATAGTTTAAGGAGAGAGAGAGAGAGAGAGAGAGAGAGAGAGAGAGAGAGAGAATGTTGCAGAGATAAAATTCCAATGTAATATTGTGAGGCAGTGTTTTGTGCAGAGTCTGTCAAAAAGTAATATTGTGAGGTAGTTTTTTGTGCAGAGTCTTTCTTTGACAGCAAAAAGTGTGAGTAATACCTTACACTGAGTGATCTTATTTCAAGTGCATTTTAGCATTAAATGATTGTAATTTTTTTGGTGATAATGAAATCCCCTCTTTCTCTAGTTCGCCCGTGTGGATTTGCCGATCAAAAGTGATCGTATGAACCACGTTAAATATCGTATTTTGATTTTTACAGTTTTTCAGTTGTATTTATTCCCCATGTGTTACCAAAATAATTTATCGTTTTGTCTGAAGTGCTTAACCGGTTTTGTTTTCCCAACACTAACGTGTGCACCCAAACACTTATCGGACAATCTCCACTATTGTGCATGCTCTTATGCCATCTTGGCATTGCATATAATGTGTTGGTTGATAGTTAAAGCGAGGGAAATAGGTGTTTGTATACAGTCATTTGTATTGTGTTTTTTCAAAATAACAACACACCAAATTTGATCTAATGTTCTATCTCGAGTTCTCTCACGGTTTTCATAATCCTGGTATTAATTTTATATACACGATTTAGCATATCTGCTGAATATATACACACAAGATACATTAATTTACAATTTTTTCGACAGAAGTAAGATATCTAATGAAAATGTATCCTTTGTTCATTATCTACTTTTTGTGTTCGATTTTATCTTTGACGGATTCTACCAAATCCTCCAACTCTGCCAAGTCTTGCTTCAGATCACCAACCTGCCCAGAAAGTATTTTGTTAGCAAATGGAAGCTAAACATTGAACAACTTGTTATTAATTAAGTACCTTGTGGAGGAAATTTTGGGTCATTCGAGCATCCTTTACAGTAACACTAGATACATGTTCTACCATCAGAGCAATTTCTCTCATTTCACCATTGTTTAGATTCTCTGCAACCTCTGCTGATAATTTTTCGGTTGTGGACGCAACTTTTTCTACCACCTCGGCCACTTCCTCAACCTCTTTAACAACCTCTTCCAGCTTATCTGAAAATCATCATTATCTTCATTTGTTTTAGCATCTATTTATGCAAACAAAGATCAAAGACATCGTGTGGAAAGGATAACTAAATTATTTTAAATGTACTTGCCTTCTAGCTTTAGCATGCTGTCCCATTTTTGCTTCCATGATGAGAAGAGCAAGGGCAAGATCGTGCCCAAAACCCATTTTACCCTGCACTAAATTACATTCTATACATTAGTTCTATGTTGATAGGATTATACTTGCTGCAAAAATTCACCTGCTATATACAAGTTCATTCATTATTTAGCAGAAAGTTGCATTTAATTGTAAAGAAGCTTTTTTAGAAATGGGACTGTAAAGAGGTGATGTGGGTTCTTTTAAAAAAAATAAATAAATAAAGCATTGTTTGTTTTGTTGGTTGTGTATGAAGGTCAAAGATTGCATACCAATAAAAGATGCTAGGCTTTGGAGAAGCTGGATCAGACGGCATAATATGTAAGGTATCTTCCTCTTCCCTACATTTTTCAGTTCAGAAAAGAAAGAACAAGTTCATGGTTTAAATATTAGCCTTTATATAAACGAAAAAAAGGTAGAAAGGTGTATAAATGCACATTTTAGACTCTGGTCTTTTTGTAGAATTGCCACGGGAAATGGTTAGGGCTTGGTGCATTGAGCTACCAATGCCATACCCCATCTTGGAAAGCCTCATATCTCCGCTGATATGCTTGTGGGCCTGAACACCGATTGAGCTCCCCTGACTAACTCTATAGCGGCATATCAGCAAGGTGGCAAAGCTACGGGCACCATAAGCTGTTGAAGAGCTTCTTGGATTCATGGCGCTGAAGTCAACTCCTCAAATGTAGAAAATATATGCTAAAAGGGTTTGGAAAGGCTAATGAAGTTATCTCTTAAGGAAGAAAATGCAATTTAGAATGGAACACAAAAGGGTATAGAAAATATGTTTTTAAGATATACAAACACGGCAAGAGATCTGGATGAGAATGATGATACTTGGGAGGATTTGTTTTTTTTAGGTTTTGGTGACTTTTAAGCAATTAACGGAGTGCATTGATTAACAAGCTATATGTTACTTGCAAGTTTTGAAGAAATAAAGGAGAACACCACTTAGTGTATTTTAAAAGTGTCCGCAGCTTTGCTCTAACTTATAAATTAATTTGTAATTTAGGTTTTCAATAAGTTACATGGACTATATTTCACTAGCTAACTGATAGTTGCTAGTTAAATAATTAAGCTGATAAAAAAATAGTGTTTGGTCAAAATATTTAATAAACTAAACTGAAATACATAAAATAACATAAAAAAAAGAAATTAAATTGTTTCCTACCTTTTATGCCTATAAATATTCCTACCCACTAATATTATGACACGTGTCATCATTCCACCATTCAATTTAATTTTATTTGATATATATTTCTAATACACTTTTAATGAGATAGTAAACTAAATATAGAATGGTGACACATATCATAATTTTAATGAGTAGGAATATTTATAGGCATAAAAATTAGGAGACAATTTAATTTCTCTTTATTTAGTCAGCTCATTAAAAGTTAAATCCATTTTCTTTTATATAATTCCTGCTATTTTCCAAATAACAGTATGTAATGTAACATATAATTCCTTGTATTTTCCAAATAAAACAATTATTTACATATATTTTTGGATATCGATTATCTTACAAAATATCTATTATTATGATTATACTAAAAAAACTATTAAGGTGAGCAATATGCCAACAAAAAAAATTCATAATCCCATAGTAAAAAAAAAAGAAAAAAAAACAGTTGAATATTAATTAAAATCCAACAGTAACTTTCCTCTTATGTCTAACTATAATAGTATTATACATGATTAAGTATAAACTTATAACTTTTTCAAACTAAAGCATTATCAAACACTTAGCCTGAATCTAGGACATAAACAATACAACACCAAACCCATATCATAAGGAGGAAATATTGCTAGAACCACAAAACAATGTACGAACAAATTGTATGCACCCATCCTTGATGAAACTATACAGTGTCTAATGTGAAATAAATGAACAAAATAAATCTATATGATGAAAAAACACTTGGTGTATGAAACTAAAATAGTCATACAATAAATAACAACCCACTTTTATTTCTTTGGGTTACATTATTATGCAAGCCATAGAACTCCATTCTTTTACGAATCAGCAGCTTCTACAAGCTACAAATATAGACACCAAGCCATTTAACACGTAACTAAAATTTTCTCTTTAAATACAACCTTTAATTACTTGGAAATGTACCAGACTTTGCTAGATGTGGATACTCCTTTGTTTTTAACACCAAATGGCTTTAGTCAAGTGTAGTAATTTCGGCAAAGAATGGAATAGAAGTGAACATTTCATTATGTAAAAGTCAAGAAAAACACAAACATTAGAAGTTTAATCATATATATTAGCAGTAAAAAAAATCAAAAATAATGTTGAATCAAATAACGTGATGCTTTCATCCAATCGTTTCTCTTCAATCAAAGTTTGAACCTCAGCCTACAGCCAAAAGATATAAATTTGATGGTGGTATTTGATAAAGAAATACCAGGAACAAATTTTAAAATCGTTCCAACGCAATTTTTTTTTTTTGTTGCTTGACTTCATGCCAAAATAGCATATTTTTCCACAGAATTATAAAAAATAGAAAGGAGAAAATAATTTTAGTGAACAACGGATATGATGCAGATGATGAAATTTATTAACAAAGTTTCTTTCATCAAATAATTATCAGTTTTTATTAGAGCCATCACAATGTCAAAACCTTAGCCCTGGGACATTGACAACCACCAGAGTGGTGGTGGTTGTAAAAATGGTGCGGGGAGCCAGTTACATGCATATCTTCCATTTGAAACAAATTCACAATATTACCATTCTACTTTCCTGGCATATACAAAAATAAGAAATTAAGGTCATGATTTTGTTTGCACTTCATGATTAATAACATATATGTAACATCCCGATGTTCAGGCACTTCTAAATTTACCCCTTTAAGTTTATTATATGTCAAATTGGTCCCTACGTCCAAGAATTATGCTTTGAAGCCCTAGTGGCAATTTCGTAATTTGGGCAGGAGGAGTACGCCAAGCGTACATGTGTGTACGCTGAGCGTACTAGGGCGCGCCCTAGTACACTGGGCGTATACTTATGCATGTTGGGCGTACTAATGTCAGGAGGAAACCCTAATTTTTAGGGTTTGGGTGGTATTTAAGCAACGTTATGGCTCATTTCTCCCTACCTTTTCAGCCTCCACATCCTTTGAGACGTTTTTGCAAACCCTAGTCCCCTTAGTGTGTGTTTTGAGCTCAAGAGTGTGTTTTTGGTGTGTTAAAGGAAGAAGAAGCTGCATCAAGAAGCCTTGAAGTGGAAACAGGCTTGTAGATCTTGGAACTTAGCCTTCTTGAGAAGCGCCATAATGTATAAAGTCTATACCTTGATGTCTTGGTTGTTAGATCCTATTTTTAGGGTGTTTTATGTTGTTTTTCTTGTCCCAAAGGTCCCATATTGTGCATGGTTGGTTATGGTCATTTTGAGCTATCCTTCCAGACCCTAGGAAGGTTCCTAAGCCATAAAAATGAGGTCCCAATTGCTAGAACTGTTTCATGCATCTTGTAGAAGGTCTTAATGGACTAAGACCTTGTGTTGAGCACTTTGTGGACTTGTAAAGTAATAAAGTTGGAAAATTTATGACCCTAGGGTACTTTTGGACGTAGATATGAAGTATGGGCTTGAGTGCTTAAGCCATTAAGCACTTAATAAAGTTTTTGGGGTTGCGAGGTTACGCCCCGCGTACATGGGAGTACCCCTTCCCCCCCCCCCCCCGGTACTCGGTCAACCGCCCCGATGGTGGTCTTCTGCGAGGCTTCGCGTAGGCTAAGTGTACCTCTGGGGTACACCCCGCATACTCGTATGGGTCAGCCCCTGTTGAGTTGACTCGGTTGAGTTGACTCGGCTGGGTTGACTCGGTTGACTCAGTGGGTTTGACCAATTGACCTTGACCAAGTTTGACCTTGAGGGTATTTTGGGTATTTTTGGATTTTAATGTAATTGGTTATTTGGTGGAAATATGTATCATTTAGAGAGATGAGATTCAGAGTTGGGCCTCATCAGTTCTGTTCAGTTTGCGAGGTGAGTTTCCTCACTGTACTTTTGGGTCGAAGGCACCAATGTCGACCCCTTTGTATGACTGTCCGTATATGCTAGCTAGGGTTTGATATGGTATATGTTGATATGTGATGGTATGTTGGGTTGATGCGGTCATGTTATGTGCTCAAGGCCAAGAGACCCAGGGCGTCCCAGATAGACTGCAGGCTGGTAGGGCGTACCAGTTAGGCCGAAGGCCCAGAGAACATTTCAGATAGGCTGAAGGCCCAGTGAGGCGTACCAGTCATGCTAAAGGTTATGTGAGCGTACCAGATAGACTGCAGGCCAATGGGGCGTTCCAGTCAGACTGAAAGCTCTGTATGCGTGTTGTTTTCTGTTATTATTATGATTATGTGTTGTGATGGTACTTTCGGGGAAATTCACTAAGCTTTGAGCTTATAGTTTTGGGTTATGTTTCAGGTACCTCAAATGATCGCGAGAAGGCGAAGGCGTGATTGTGCGCCTCCTCGTGTTTTAATTTATGATTTTGGGAAAACCCTAATATTAAACATGTTTTGAAAACTAAATTATAGACAATGATGATTTGTGGATTGGTTTTAAAAGTTTAAATTTTTAATGAATTTTATGGATGTTACAAGTTGGTATCGGAGCCTTGGTTTGAGTGAATTGGAGGAACACTCTTGGGAATACAGTCACAAACTAAGGAAAAATATTTTTAAAACAGTTTTCCAATGGTTTTCAAAATAAATAAGGAGGATGCGATGTGTACGATCAGCCGGAGCCAATAAGTAGACCCCAAATTAATACACAGTTAATTGAGATTATGTTATGATATGTTAGAACAGCATGCTAGTAATAGGATAGGGATCTTTAGGAACTATATGATAGAATTGCCTGATATATGATGCCTTATCTCTTATAGAATCCTTGATCGATTATTGTATGACTCTTTCACGTGTGAACTAGCTATTGAATGAATACGCTACATGCTACATGGTTTAAACGATCTAAGGATAAGGGATTTGGTCCTGCTGCGCAGTCCTTGTCTGAGTCAAACCTTTGTAGGATTGAATCTTTTAGTCTAAGATTGTTTAAACTGTGCGACATGTGATTGTATTCATGTGATAGTTATCTGGCACCAATGGAGGGTCGTGTGGCAGTTAGTGGTAGGATGAGTTGTGTGGGGTCATCCGGCCCGTCTCGACATGTGTAGCTTTCCTCTAGAGTGTGAGGATTTCATGTGGGCGTATGCTAGTATGTATTGTTAGGGTTATTGTGATGATCCTTGAGACAAATATGGGTAGGTGTGGAAGGTAGTATGGGTCCGTACTACTGAAAGCACAGGACCCATACGCGTAACAAGGAAGTCACATCCCCTAGGGATTTGTTGGGACTTGGTTCCCCTGTTATGATATGCGCGTTATCTGATATCTCCCTGGTATATTTTCAGTATGGTGACGACGAGGCGATTTGAGACTGGATCCGAATCGGGATCGGGAGATGACAGTCAGGGTGGGCTAGCTGTATCTGAGGACAGGATTAAGGAGATTATCCACGGAGAGGTTGTGGCTATTGTCCGGGGGCATATATGGGAGCTTTTTGGGTCTATCAAGACCGCGATGATGGAGTTCTTTGATGATAGATTTGTTGTTTTGTCTGAGGCTGTTGCTGATGCAGCCACCGTGGTCGTCGCGACTGCAGGGATTGGTGTTGGGCGGGACCCCAGTCCAGGACCCGATCATAGACATGAGGTGGCTATCTGATGTTGAGGGATGCTTTTTCACCTGCTCTTGCCCAGCTGACCAGAAGGTCAGGTGGGCTTTGAACCTTTTGAGGTCCGGAGTGAAGGATTGGTGGAGACTTGTTACGGGATGGTATTATGCTAAG